CTTCCTGTCTAGATAACAACATTTTTACCAGGCAGAAATTCAAATAAGATTTCTAACTATTCCGGCTTTTGCCGGAGCCTGTATGCACACACAAGAGAAGAACCCGGAGCTCCTCTGAAAGGTGGCTCCTTGTTTGCCGCTGGCATAGGACGGTCTGGTGAATACAAATAACAAAGGTGACTCCTCAAGGACTGGCGAAATGTAGACTGTGTGGGTCTCCCTCCTTCCCCTGGTGTATCTTCCTCCTATGGTCCCGGGGAGAAATAGTACCTCCTAACGGGACCTTTTTCATCTAGCTGAACACTGCCGGCTATGTTCCGTATCTGCTGTAATTCTGCCTGGGAGCAGGTATCTACCTCAAAATGTTTGCTCTAATTTAAAAGCTCCCCTGATGAAGCTTTAGTGCACAATGTGTTGGGAGAAAAAGGGAACCACAAGCCCTTGGACTCAGTATTGAACAGTGACCAGATCGTTGTATGAGCATATGTGATTAAAGGAGAACTATGAGGTGGGTGATTTTCACTCAGCCTCACAGTTCGAGCCGATGTGTGACAATGAAATTGTCACAGGTCGGCTCAATAGATCGGGAAGTGAGCGAACACATAACGGCGCTCGCTGACTTCTCGATCTTGTCCCTGCAGAGAGCCGTGACTATCAGTCACGGCACCCTGCAGGGATTGCCCCGCTCCGATCCTCCAGCGCTGACTGGCGGAACGGACGGGGGAGGGGTCAGGTACAGCTGGCTCTGCCTCTAGGCAGAGCCAGCTGTCACTCACGCAGCTGGGTGGATCCAGACAGTAATGTCAGCTCGTGGTATACTGTAGCTTGCGGTATACTGAGCTTTGGGTGACGGGAGGGCGCTTGTTTGTGTCCTCCCGTTACCCTTAGGAGAACTATGGGGAAAAACACTTACCCCATAGTTCTCCTTTAAGTTGCCCAAATTTAATAATAAAAACAACAAGGGCTGAAGCTTGTTTTAAAGCAACCAAATGGGGGTTAAATACCCAAGAAATACATGAATTTTAAAAAGTTAAATGTGTAATGGGATGTGGAGTTTTAATGTTGGAAAATAAATCACGTTTTTAACAATAAATACGAAACTGTGTTTTTGCCTCTTACAAAACCCAATTTTGTGTATAATGCTGGTATTGTAAAACTTTAGGGGGGAAGAGTCCAAAAACCTAAAGTTGTTCTTGATCCATAAGAGGGGTTACTACTAGACATGTGCAATTCGTTTAGTTCCGAATCGAAATTCGGACGAAATTTCAGAAATTCGGATGTATCTGAATTCCGAATTACAGATATAACAAATGCAAACGAATCCCAATTTCCGATTCCCAAATTCGTTAGTGGTAGTCTGTACGAAATTTCGTTTGAGAATTTTTTTTTTGTTTTTTCCCCCTCAAATGTCACTTTGCTGCAACGAACGAACCGAAAACGAAACAAACTTTCGTACAGACTACTGCTAACGAATTTAGTCCGAATCCAAATCCTGAAAGGAAGTGACTTTCGGACCCGAATCCCGAAAAACTAAATAACGCAAAATCCAAATCAAAACGAAACCAAACAAAACAATTTTTTTGCCGGTACACATGTCTAGTTACTACTCTAAAGTATAAGATTCCTAACATATCGTTGTTCACAGATTGCCCAACTATTGTAAGCCGGGCACAGTGGGGAGGCAAGACCCCCACATGCAAGAGGATGTCTGTTCCTGTACCGAACGTCATCATCCACCACACGGAGGGCGCCTTCTGTAGCTCTAGATCTACGTGCAGCGCCCAAGCCAGGAACATACAGAATTATCACATCAATACCAATAAGTGGTGTGACATCGGATACAAGTGAGAAACAAAACTAAGTAGCAAATGCCTTGTCCAGTGAAGCAGAATGAGATAGTAGAGTGCGGGTGTTCTGCTGAATATTTTGGTAGGCGAGTAGAAAACAATATGGGGGAAATTTATCATAGCAATTGGGAGTGTTTGAACTTGCACGGAATATATTTGATGCAGATTTATGATGCTGGTGTAATGTTGTTCATAAATGAGGTTTAATAGAAGTGTTTTTCCTCATAGTTCTCCTAAGGGTCATGGGAGGACATAAACTAGCGTCCTCCCGTCACCCAAAGCTCAGTATATAGCGAGCTACAGCTTGCGGTATACCGTGACCGCTGCAGCCGGGACGGATCCCGACGTTACTGTTGAGATCCACCCAGCTGCGTGATAGACTCTGGCTCTCTGCCTATCTAGAGGCTCTCTGCCTATCAGCTTTTCACTCGCCTCATAGTTCTCCTTTAACTGTCGCTTCTTGAAGAAGTCGTCATGGGGACTTCTTAAGTTGCGATTGTTTTGTTAGGTGATGCCCCAGTTTCAGACAGTCGCAGAACAAGGGCAGATGAAAACAGGCGCAAAACAGGTGTAATTGGAAAAGTAGTGCAAGTTCAGGTCAAACCAGGAGCACATGTTAAAAGACAGATTTGCACATGAAAAAAAAATGATCTAAGAGGATAAAACTGTCACAATTGCTTTGATAAATTCCCCCCTATGTATCTTAGTACATTGTGAATTAAAGAGGATTCTCTGTATCACCAGCAGGTGGCTGAAGGTACAGGATCTGCTCTTCTCCAGAGCCACTGATGGTGCAGATTTTGGCCTGAAGCAAGCCATCAGGGTTTGTTTCTTGGGATTGCCTAGGTTTTTTCCCAGTTGATAGATCGGACGGGACCAGGTAATGCCAAATCCATAAGTAGAGCTGAGAACAAGACAGGCTGAAGGTCAGGGCTGGCAGCAAACTGAGAGCAGAAAACATAAACAGGTTTAAAAATCCCAAAAGCACTTTAATGGGTCAGGCTACAGATACCTTTGATCAGTGCCCTGATCCCGATATACACTCACTGAGCACTTTATTAGGGACACTATACTGATACTGAGTAGGGCTTCTCAGAACAGCCTAATTTGTTTGCTGTGTTGCTGTGTTGTGCATTCTGAGATGTATTTCTGCCTGTCTGGCACCAACGATCATGCCACAGGCAACATTTATTTCCCTATTCTGTGGTTGATGTGAACATCTGCTTAGATAATTGCATAAAGGAAGAGTCACCAGCAGGGGCTTTACTAGAAATCACAGGGCCCCATAGCAAAATGTTGTATGGGGCCCCGTGATTGCTAGTTAAGCCACTTGCAGAGCCCACCTGATATACCAAACAGCCCACCTGAGAGTGACCCTGCAGAGCCCACCATAGACTCTCTATAGGGTCTCAGATGGGCTACACACCTCTTACCTGTCAGCGCTGTCCGCCTCCGTGGTCGCCGAGCCCCGCCTCCTCTTCTATCGCCGGGCCCCGCCTCCTCTTCTATCGCCAGGCCCCGCCTCCTCTTGCATCACTGGCCCCACCTGCTCTTAGGTCGCCGGCCAGTGATGTAAGAGGAGGCGGGGTTGCTCTGAGGCGGGCCCCGCCTCCTCCTTAACTGCGAACGCCGGCCTCTTCTGCCGCAGCTGCTGGCTGTCACTGACACAGCTCCGCAGCGGCTCACAGCTGTGTCAGTGACAGCCAGCACCCCGATATGCCATAGCGACCCAGGCGGCCCACACGACATCAAAGGAATGCCCTGGCCAGGCCCCCCTGTGCCCGGGTCCCATAGCGGCCACCTGGGTTGCTATGGCGATTGTTACGCCACTGGCCACCAGATTAAAAATAATTGCAGGTAAAAGCACAGAAAAATCAAGTATTTTACATGTATTTGCACAGTGCTAGGACGGTGGTATTATGAGCTGGCTTGTATTTGTAGCCTGATATTCTGATGGGTATTCATCTTTTAATATTTTCTTTACAGCTTCCTCATTGGTGAGGACGGCGCTGTGTATGAAGGACGAGGCTGGACGACTATTGGTGCTCACGCTACAACCTATAACCCCATCTCCATTGGTATCAGCTTCATAGGATCCTTCACTGGTAAGTGGACCAAACCTTATAACCACTTTTACTAAATACACTAACCTGCAAAGCGATTCTTCTTTATGGTGCTTCTCTATGTGCTTTTCGGTTAGGAATTCACAATGTCCAATCCCCAGCAGATTAATTTAACTGAGATGGAATCAGGGCCGGATTTACTTTCTCTCTCTATAGCCAGGTTCCTGAATGCTCCCCACTCCACGCCACCCCAACCCCCCCCCCCCTAAGGAGAGAGGACACTCTACGCGC